GCGGGGCGCTTTCGTTCGCGGGGAGGGGGTGAGGGGAGGAGGCCGCCGGAGGGAGACGGGAGGAGGGAGGAGCGCGTCTCCGCGGAACCCGGCCTCACCCCTCAGGGGCCGTCCAGGGGGCCCAAGCGGAACCCGGAAGCAAATGCGCTGGAAGTGACGAGCGGCGCTCCGCCCGCAGATGCTGGTTAGCCGGGTTGTCATAGAAACGGGCTCCAGAGCGGGGAGATTGGTTTTTCCGCCTGGCCGGCTTTCCCCTCCTCAGGACGGGGCTTGAGAGCCCGTTTCAGAGACGAAACCGCGGAGGCTGGAGAGTCACAGCATAGGCGGAGGTCACGCGAGACTGCGGAGAGGACCGTGGGCGTTACCCCTGGCGACCGAGGTGAAGGATGCGGAGGGGGTGACGGGGCTCAGGAGAGGGCCCAGCGTTTAGGAGCACTTGTTGCTTTCAGAGGACCACGGTTCGATTCCCAGCACTCACGTGGAGCCCACAACCATCCATAACACCAGTTCCAGGGGATCTGATGGCCTCTCTGACCTCGGGGATCAGTCACGCACGAGATGCACATACATATAGGCAAGCAACACAGAACATCATTCCCATTAATTCCCAACTATTCCGAAGACTGAGTCAGGAGGAGTGTGAGTTTAAGGCTAACATGAACAATTTAGCGAGCCCCTGCCTTAAAAAAGAAAGTAATAGAAGGCTATGGCTGCACCCCATTCCTAGAACCCTTGCCTAGCCGGTGTGTACTCCCTGGGTTCAGTTCCCCACAATGAAAAAACAGGGCGGGGAGGGTCCTAGTGTTAACTTTAACTGGTTACTAGCAGAGTGACCTTGAACAAGCTGCTTAGCCTCTGAGCCTCATTATCATATTATTATCTGAGCCTCATTATCATATCTTTTAAAAGCAATAATAATAACAGTATAATTTATTTATAATTTAATATTATATTGTTATTATTTATATTTATATATATTATTTATAATTTAATAATAGCAGCCGCCTAGTGAGATGTAGTCAGAATGAACTACACAGAACCGGATAGTGAGCACAGACTAAGACCTAAGGGAGTTGTTTGAGACAGGTAGCCCATACTACTCTCAAATTGTGGAGCTCAGCCTGTCTCTGTCTCCTGAATAAAGCTGGCTTCTTTCTTCCCGCAGTTCTGTAACCATGGAAACCAGAGGGGCAAGTGCAGTCCTCCCATTTTGCTTAGGACCTGCACAGTCTACACTGGCTATGCCCTGACAGCTTGCCACTTGACTTTTCATAGGTTTCTCTAAACTCCTGTTTGCCACATTGACTGGGAGCTCCCTGAGAGGTGAACTTCAGGGGGCTGTGCTGGAGAGATGGCTCAGCCTTTAAGGGATTGGCTGCTCGAGGGCCTGAGTTCAGTTCCCCAGAACATCATGCCAATCACAGGGAATTAGACACCTTCTTCTGGCTTCTGAGAGGGCATTCACACATGTGGTGCCCAGTCATACATTCAGGCAAAAAAAAAAATCATATATATAAAAGAAATTTTTAGACTTAGAGAGGGGGGCAGGGCTTGGTTTGCCCCAGAATCCCTAGAGTTTGACAAGTGCCAGATGCAAATGTAAGGCATGGAGCATTGTTTTCCATTGGCTGGAATTTTTGGGGTTCCCCCCCAGACAATCTTGATGTGGAGCCTTGACTGTCCTGGAACTCACTATGTAGACCAGGCTAGCCCCATACTAACAGAGATCCACCTGCCTCTGCATCTCGAGTGCTGGGATTAAAGGTGTGCATCACCACACCTTGCTCTTTCACCTCTGAGAGCACCTGCACTCACAAGGCAAACATATACACATAATTAAAAAATAAAAATAAATCTTTTCAAGCCAGGAGTGGTAGTACATGTCTGTAATCTCAGAACTCAGGAGATAGAGGCAGGAGAATCAGGAATTGAAGGCCATCCTTGCCTAATAGTAAGTTGAGACCAGCGGAGCTACACAAGACCCTGTCTCAATCCCCTAAATAAGGAAAGGGGGGAAAAGCCCTGTCAACCCCTCCCCTGATAATGAGACTGATGACTGACTTATATGCCACCCGATAGCCTTCATCCAGCAGCTGGTGGAAGTAGAAGCAGACACCCACAACTAATCACTGGATGAACTGGAATCCAGATGCAGAGAAGAATGAGTGAAGAGCAAAGGGGTCCAGACCAGGCTGGTGAAACCCACAGAAACAGCTGACCTGAACATCGGGGAACTCTTGGTCCCCAGACTGATAGCTGGGACACCAGCATGGGACTGATCCAGACCCCAGGAACATGGGTTTCAGTGAGGAAACCTCAGAAATCTACGGGACCTCCTGTAGTAGATCAGTACTTATCCCTAGAACAGGTGTGGACTTTGGGAGCCCATTCCACATAGAGGGATACTCCCTGAGCCAAGACACATGGGGTGGGCCTAGGCCCTATCCCAAAGGATACAATAGACTCTGATGACACCCTATGGAAGGCCTCACCATCCAAGAGGAGCAGAAAGGATATGTGATAGGTAGGGTTTTAGTTGGGGGTGGTGGTAGGGGAGGACGGAAGGGAGAAGGGAACTGGGATTGTCATGTAAAACAATCTTGTTTCTAATTCAAATAAAAAAATCTGCAAAAAAAAAAAAAAACTGTCAGCAAGTGTATCAAGCTTGCATTTTCACGTGAGCCTTTAAGAAAGTCCCTTCCACCTCTGTGGTTCTGTGACAGCCAAGAGGCAAGCCCTGATGATGGAAACATATGACATTTCCTGTCAGAAAAGACCCAAGGTTTCAAGACAGGCACATTTCTCCTCCTTTACACAAATAAAGACTTGTGACTTCTGTGCTTGGTACCCAGACTTCATTACATAATGATTAGCAGGTTACATAACGATCATCTGACAACCATCAGGCACCCTCACTTTTTAGGAGCCAACACTCTACCTACCTCTTTCTATTTTTTTATGAAATTTTTTCCCGTAATCACAAAAGTAGCAGGATTCCAACAATACAGAAGCACACAGAACAAAAACCAAAAGAGGTTCTGTGACCCAGCAGTGGGCTTTCTTGGCCTCCAGGAAAGAAACACAAATGCAGGCAGCTTCAGTGGCAAACAGAGGGAGTCTGTTCTAAGCAGCAGCATGTTGAGTGGAGTATCTCCCTAACCAGCCTGTGCCTGCAGAGGATGATGGGAGTCTACACGATGCAATACCTCAAAAGGAAAAGACACACTGCGGAAAAACAAACAAAACAAGCATTGGTCAGTATCACGGAGTTTAGGTTCATGCAAATATCCAAAGCCAACCAGAGACAGGAATATAGTCCAGATGCCTGTTTTCCCCTAGTCATCCCAGCCCCAGCACTGAGGCTGAGGCAAGAGGATGATTGTGAATCCAATACCAGCCTGAGACCTAAGTAGTGAAAAGTGGTCTGGGGGCAGGGAAGGCACTCAACAGTTATGAACCCTTGCTGTTCTTCCAGAGGACCAAAGCTCAATTCTCAGCAACCACAAAGCCCACAATCACCTATAACTCCAGCTCCAGGGAATCTGACACAAAGAATAAACCTTAGCCAGGTGTGTAGTGCTCGACTTTAATCCCAGCACTCAGGAGACAGAGGCAGGCAGATCCCTGTGAGTTCAAGGCCAGCCTGGTCTACAGAGTGAGTTCCAGAACAGCAAGGGCTACACAGAGAAATCCTGTCTCAAAAAACAAAAGAATATTTTAAATTATTTTATGTGCATGGGCATTTTGCCTGCATGTATATCTGTGCAACTCGAGCATGCCCAGTGCCCACACAGGCCAGAAGAAGTCAGGTGTTCAGATCCTTTAGAACTGGAGTTACAGTCAGTCATGAACCTCCATAAGGGTTCTGGGAACCAAACCTCAGTCCTTTGGAAGAGCAGCTAACATGCTTTTTGTTGTAGTAGAGTGCTTGCCTCAGCATGAGGCCTCAGGTTCAACCCCCAGTACTCAAGTCGTAAATTCCATAGTTTGTTGGTTGGGTTTTAAGCTTATGCACAGGTCTGGCCTTCCTGTCACCTGGAGGAAAGAAAGCAGTCAGAGAAGAAAGAATCAAGAGATGAAAACTCAGCTGCTGGCAAGCACATAATGACATCCTGAGGGTCTAGAGCCTGGCACACACCGTGCTGGGCACAGTAGGAATGGCATCTTCCAGAGTGCTAGATCACAGTGGCAAATGAGCACTAGAGAGCCTGAAGTCCCTGTGCCTCAGGTTCCTCATCTGTTAGCTTCCAGATGGTAACAGCACCCACTGGATGCCACTGACACCAGGTGGTCCACACAGGCACTTGACTAAGCACTCAACAGCAGCTGTCACTATTGGGGGTTGGTCAGTAACAGCCCTTGCTCACCTGAAAACTGCTATGTAGCCTAGGTTAGCTTAAAACGCCGCCTCTGCTTCCTAGGTGGGGGATTATAGGTGTGTGCAACCACCTTCCAGCTTAACGGTGTTTGTTTTTGCATTTGGTTACTGTGTTTGCAGGCACTGGGCAGGGAAGTCACTATCCCTGCATACCATAGTGTGTGTGTGCGCGCGTGTGGAGGTCAAAGGACAACTTAATGGAGTCAGTTCTCAGCTTCTGCCACCATGGCCTAGGGATCCGACTGAGGTCATCAAGAACCTAACTCACCTTGCCAACCCTCTTTCTTTGTTCCCATCCCTGCAAAAGAGCTGAGAGACATTCCACTACACTACTGCTTGATAGTATTCTTTTTCCTTCCGAGTTGTACACTGTAACCAAGGCTGAGTCCTCACTATGCAGCATCATGCTGTCCCTGAACTCAAGGCAATTGTACTACTTCTGCCTACTTACGTCGTAGGTGTGGGCCCTGCAACCTGACTGTCCTTCTGATTGAAATACCCCTGGCCCATCTTCCAAGGCCCTTCCCTCAGGGGGATAAGCCTGGATTTAGTTTTTAATAATTTTAATTAAATTTATTCATTTGTTTTCTGTGTGTTTTGCCTGCATGTATATGTGTGCACCATGTGCGAGCTTGGTGCCCATGGAAGTCAGAAGAGAGCATTGGAGTCCTTGGAACTGGAGTTATGGACAATTGTAAGCTAACATGTGGGTGCTAGGAATTGAAGCTAGATCCTTTCCGAGAGCAATAAGTTCTCTTCTGAGTCATCTCTCCAGCCCCTGAATTTCTTTCTTTGAAGATTTATTTATTTTAATTGTACGTGTATAGTGTTTTCCCTGCATACATCCTGTGTGCCACATTTGTGCCTGGGAAGAGGGAGTCAGGTTCCTTGGGGCTGGAATTCTATCTAGTTGGTTGTGAGCTGCCTGATGTGGGTGCTGAGAACCCAACTCAGGTCCTCTGGAAGGGCCGTAAATGCTGAGCTCTCTGCCCACAGTGTTGAGCCTGTTCCTAACTGCATGAGTGTAGGTTGTCTCGTATTGTGAGCATATGCCTCATGTCAGACCACGTGTGGAATCATCTCTCCAATCCAAGGTTTCTTAACCTGTATTCATAGTCCCTTCCTCCAGGCTATCTTCATTTGGTTTGAATGTCTTCATTTTTGGAGACAGGATATCATGGATCCCAGGCTTGCTATGCAGACAAAGATGACTTTGAACTCTTGACTCTTCTACCTTTCCCTCCTGATAACTGGAATTACAGGAGTGCCCCACCTTGCCTGGTTTATGTCATGCTGGGTCATCTCTGGCAGGCAAGTACTCCACCAACTGAGCCACGTCCCCAACCCTCAGAAGGTTATCTTGCCTATGGGATGAGACACCAGAAGGAAAGAACTTCACCTGAGCCTGCTAGGGAATGAGTCTACAGCAGGTGTTACCCCCGTAAGGCTTACTGACCTAGTGCAACCTGAATTTGCTGGAGGCTGAAGAGGCCATCTAGCTCCTGGATTGAGAACTCATTGACTTGGAGGAGGCTGTCGCCCCAAAGCAGGCACATGTGTTCTCTGGCTCCTTCACAACACTTTCTTCCCCTTTTCTCCCTAAATATAAACCTAATTGTCAATGCTTCATAGCCTTCATGCCACCGGGCAATGGTGGTGCATGCCTTTAGTCCCAGCACTCAGGAGGCAGAGGCAGGTGGATCTCTGTGAGTTTGAGGCCAGCCTGGTCTACAGAGTGAGTTCCAGACAGCCTCCAAAGCCACAGAGAAACCCTGTCTTGAACCCGCCCCCCCCAAAAAAGCCCTCATGCCACCCACAAGTCCAAAGGCAACTACTGGCTAAGAGCTATTATTACTGGGGATCCACCCTTCCCAACCCACCTCCAAGGAGACATAGTTCACAGGGCTGGATCTTGATCTCATATGAGTGCTACTTAATTGCTCTGAAAACAGTCCCTGGAGGTCATGGCTTCTCCTGTGTACTGTACAGCCCTTCAAGCACCAGGCTTCGAAGAGCCGTTTGCAGAATGCAAGCATCTTTGCCCCTTGAAGCAAGCAAGAAAAAGCCACACTCAGTGTCCTTGTTATATATCAGTATATGGCAGGAAGAAAGGGGAAGTAGGGGGCTGGAGAGATGAATCAGCAGTCAGGAGCATTTGCTGCTGAAGACCAGAGTTCAGATCCCCACACCCACATGGGGTGGCTCAAAACTGCCAGGAACAAGTTATGGAGCCACTCCGGGTCTCCATTTCCCTCTTAGTAAAGTGGAATTAACTGCATCCAAGAATGCCTCCAAGACTAGAATGTGATGTCAAGTAAAGACTAAGCATTCTTTATGAACCAGGTATTTTTTATTTCAAAGCTGGGGCTCAAACTGAGGGCCTCCTGCATGCTGAACCATATGCAGCCTGTCACCCCTGGGCCTCTTGCATGCTGAACTTTCTAGAAGCACCTGTTTTGTTTGTTGATTTGGTTTTTCAGAAAGGGTATTTAAACAACCCAGGCTGCCTAAAAGCTCCTCCTGCCTTAGCCTTCCAGAAAGTTCTGAGATTTATTTGTGAGTACTGTCATATATCCTAGGATGGCCTTGAACTTCTCACCCTCCTGCCTTCACCCCTGAAGCACTCGGGATTCTGAGTGTGTACTACCACACCTGGCATAGACAGTGCTCGGGATGGAACACAGGGCCCAGTGTGCATGGTGGGCAAGAACTCCACCCACTGGACCACGCCCCAGGCCTAGACAACACTTTCTGGGTAAGCAACCCTTTGCTGATCCTGGAAATCAGTCAGTGCCCATACCCAACAGCTGCCACCACTCTGGCTGGTGGTTCACAGTACAGCGTCTTCCTGGTATACCTCCTTTCAGTCCGAGCCTCTGTCCTATTTTACTTTATTATTTTATCTTATTTTTTTTCAGGCTGCACAAGCCATAGAGAAAGGGCACTATCTACCTCTAGAGACCTGAAGATTTAAGGTTAGGGGTGTCCACCACCAGGTGAGTATGTGAGATACACATGTTCCGCCTTAGAGAAAATACTGCCTCCTCGTTTTCAGTCAAGAAAAATCTTGAGAAACCTGATAAAAATCATCTGGCTATACCTGATGGTGCAGTCTGTAACTGCAACTACGTGGTGGGCTGAGGCAGGAGGTTGGAAAGCTCAAAGCTCGCCTGGTCAAGCTGGTGAGTTGGCCAAGGTCCACTGTAATGGCAATAAACACTTATGGTCTGAGTCCCAGGGTGGCCGGGTGACCGCCCTGGTTCTCCCACCAGGCTGCCGTCCACTCACCTGGATGGGCGGCGGCTTTCCGGCGCCTGGGGTTGTAGACTCCGCCCATCTCCCCGCCCCCTCCCTCGCGCGTGCGCAGACGCCGGGGGCCCCGCCCCCCCCT